TCAAGAAATTGTTGTCCTGGGCTTGCGCCGATGATATTAACATCATCGCTAATGGCAAGTTTGAGGAAACCCGTTTGTGCTATAGTTCAAAGAAGATTACGGTGGCCCAAGACTGGTGCGATACTGCACGCCTCAAATTTAAGCCTAGCAAGATGACCCTGGTGCTTTTCACTAGGAGAAGAAAACTGGGACATGTGCGGACAATATTCACGTGTATGGGCGGCTGTAGAAAGAAAATCGAAGGTCGAGTACCTGGAGTTGGTATTTGATTCCAAGTTTTTTGGCGGAGTCACGAGGAAGCTGTATGTACATGGGCAACATAGACGATTATGGTTTGCAGGTCCATCTCTGGCAGCTTGTGGAACTGCTCCCCGTCTGTCATGTTATGAATGTATACCATGATGGTCGTGCCGCTCCTGATTTATGGAGCAGTGGCATGGGCAAGAAGGGCGGTTCTTATGACGGGTAGGACCTGAAACGATTACAGAGACTCACATGCGTCTGCATCACAAGGGCTATGATTACTTGCCAACTGGGGCAAAGGGGGTGATTTCGGGACAAACATCTTTGCACCTCGTTGCCGAAATATTGGCAAATAGGGGGGCAAACACACCTCTTCTTTGGCCGGAGCCCTTCTAAGGAATCGGGCTACATACTATCCGTTGGGAATTAAGAAAGGAATCTGAAAGAAGGCGGTCGGGGTGCCCGACAAGTCTTCCGGGCTTGCGCAAGCCAAGGAGCTCCCGGGAGATTATGACCAGAAGCGATTTAAGAAAATTACAGGGATGGGCAAGAATCAGGTGAGAATCCTCACCCGCTTTTTAACGGAACCTTGCAGACTCAATCGACTGGGCCTTGAAAATGAGGATACTTGCAGATTCGGTGTGAAGGATGGAGAGACGTTGCTGCATCTTCTGGGGAAGTCTGATGCTCTTGCTTATAGGAGCATAATCTATATATCTGAGGAATGTACAAATCTATATATCTGAATACAGAATAAATTAGGAAAGAAGTGTACTATTGTCTCTATTTCCCTCTGTTGATTATATGTCATATGGTCAGTGCGGATATTAATTCCGTTTACGTCTAGGCATTTTTGTTGCTTTATTTTAAATCTTTTTTCGTTTTGGATTAGAAGGTAATTTTCCTTGGTATGTATGACAGCGGATAATTCTTTAAAACTGTCGTTCCCTAAAATGCCGTCGAATTTTAAGCCGAAGGTATTTAATAGGTATGCTGGGCAATTGTGACATTTCCGGCTACTGAGTTAGCGATGAAATTTTCTTTATTTTGTAGAGGATTTTTGACTAAACTTGGTTTGATTAATTGTTGGAGCCTGTGTCAATAAGAATTGTAAGGATTTTACCGCTGTTTTCCTTGCATTCAAAGTAGGACAGGGAAGAGCCGCTTAATCTTAACAATGGATATCTGAAATTTCCTCAAAATTAGGTTGGTTATTACAAGCCGGTTCGTACGTGCCGAGTCTACCAAGGCTTTTTCGTAAGGAACTTCCTGTTCCTGTACTGTGTCATTAAAAGTTTCTTCGTTACAATATGTCATGTCGTACGAAGGATATAATTTCGTGTCGAGATGAAAGTTTCTCTGTTGTTTTGTTACATGTTGATGTGTTCGTTGCAATTGTGTGAATGGTATTTTTCCTAAAGTTTGATTTTGCACAGGTCTGTTCAGATAGTCTACCTTCTTTGTTTGGATACTTCTATCTACATCCATAGTTTAGGGAGGTTGTAGTCTGTTTTGAAAATTATGAAAGTTTGTTGGACGAGGTTGGTAATTGTAATTCATTGTATTTTGTGATTGGTTATTATGGGCATATGATCTTGATTGAAATCTTCGGTTCAACGCTTTTTTTCCAGGAGCTAAACTCTTCTGGATTTCCTGAAAATTCGCGTATACATCGTTCTACGTCCGGTACCCTATCTAAACCTACTAGATTTCTATCGGTAGAGTTTACAGTTTGGTCAGAATAACTTGATAGATCTTCGTTGAGATAAAGTATTTTGTTTACTCCTTAAGGTCAATGTGTCCAAAACGCACGTTGGACCATATTAGAAGTGTGTTTCAAAATTCGGTTGACTATTATTTGTTAATCTTGACAGTTTTATAAATGGGGTATTTTCAATTGCTTGTTATTTCACTTTTATATTGTTTTTTAGGTTGTTATTGAGAAATGTAATAAATTTGTTTATTGCTATTATTGATAAATTGGAGGGAGTGAAGAAAATTTTTCCTTTTGTTTTGAGCGAATGTTGTGGTTACGCCACTGATCAAATGTTGAATCACTAGTATAAATTTCATAAACTCTTTAAAATTTCCTATATGTAGGTCAATCATAAAGTTGATTGACATTTTTAACATATTCACAACACCTGTTTTTAATTTAATTTTAAGCCATGCTTGTTTTTTTTTCCGGAATGTCATCGCGCTTAGACATATTTAAGATTAAATGAACAAGTTAAAAATTAGCAAAGCAAAAAGTACAAAAAAGGTTAAATCTACTTTGAATCAATAAGTGAAATAAAAATATTAAATGTTTTATAGAATTTTAATGAAATCAAAAATATATTAAATAAATAATAATAAAAAAAATCATTTAATAAAACCTTAACTATTTACTAATGTAAACTCAAATTAAATATAAGTTAATTTAAAACAAATTATAATTACAACTAAAAATTAATCTTAAAAACTACTTGTTAAAAGTGAAATCTAAATTATGATATTAATAAAAATAAAGTATTAGGATGAATTATAAACTAAGAATAAAGTGTGTGTTTGATTGTGCTTGATTAAAATTGTGCAATTGTACTTTAAAATATAAAAACTAAAAATTGGTATCAAAGCACATTTCCGAAATACCAATACAAAAATCTAGCCAGGCTTTAATTTTAATTTCAAATATTTTTATTTATTAAATTTATATAGTTGTTGATATATGATTTCCTTTGGGAATTTAATTAATATTAATTAATTTAATTTTGTTTACTTTGTTCTAGAATTTCAAATTTTTCAAGACACGTGTTGTTTTTTTTTCTTTTTCCTTTTTTTATAATATTTTATTTAACTATGTTTTTGAGCTAAAATCGATACTTATTGATTTATCATAAATCTCTATTTATTTAAATTATGTTTTTTATTTTTAATAAACTTTATGTATTGAATCAATTAAATAAATTTATGAATTGAATTTTTCAAGTTTAAATTGTAATATATTTTGCACAAATATAATGTAAATGTTTTAATTTATTTAATGACTAAATTATTTTTTTCAAATTCCAAAATTTATTTCTCAACTTTTCAATTTTTGTTTGATTAATGGTTTGTAGTATTTTTTTCTAATAAATATTTATAGTGAAAGTAAAATTTCTTACAAAGAGATGACGTAATAACGTGCATTTTTTCAGCGATAAGCGGCTGCTGACTGCTATCAACTCCTTTTTGTTGATGTACTGGTTGATGTATTTCCCACGTTGCTGTTGATCTTGTTTCAGGAGCAGGTTGAGCAGATAATGCTACTTGAGGATCCAGTCTTTGAGTTGTATAATTTAATGTGAAGCTTTTCATTATAATTTCTTATTAATGTGTTTATTAAGTGCTTTGGATTTATAACAAATTATTCACATAAGTTTATTAAATTAAATTAATACAGTATTATTTAAGTTTCTTATTTAGTGTTACTTTTAGTTGTTTATATTATATTTTCTGAACTATTATTTTATTATTGCTATTATTATTATATATTTTTTTTTTCTTATTAGTGTGAGTTATTGATTTTCAATAATTAATATAACGTTTATTACAACTATATTTATTATAATTAAAATTGTACTATTAGCTTCACTTTGAAGTTTTGACTAGCATTCTCACCTGCCCAGAACGTTGGCCGCCAGAAATTTAGATTAGAAATAATTTTTTATTATTTCTATCATAAAAATAAAACAAATTTTATTTTTAATGAAAGAGTTTTATTTCTTTGAATCATCATTTGTACCGTTCGGGCATTAATTACTTATTACGTACAGTACATTTAAAGCTTAACCTATTCATAACATTTTAATTAAATTGTTGCCTCCACGTGATACACTTTGTATGGGAACTTTGTTGTTGGCATGTATTAAGATTGCTGACATTGAGTCTGCAATTTTTATGGGAATATTTTTATGCGTTATTTTGTGGGAAAGATATTTTGTCATTGAATTTTTTATTAAATTAAATTTGAAACTAAATGAATTTTGTGTTAACTCCCGCCGAAAACTCTACATCGGAAAATTGGACCTTCCATACTGTACACATAACCTTCCATATTGTATACAATGCAGTCGGTAAAAATAAAGCAGATAACATATTGATTTCAAGCTCTTTACTAGCCCTTTCAAATTGTTTGTTTGAAGCCTTTATCTTTTTTAAAACGAAAGTAATAAGCAAAAAAACTTAGAGTAGAAATTTCGTGAAAATTCAGTAAAGTATTTTAGACATCGTTGAAATTTGACACCTAGTTGCATAAACGTTTTTAAATTTTCAGTAAAAACTTACTTCACGCTCCTCAAAGAAAACCCAAACGTAAAAAAAATAAATACATATATACATAAACTGCATTTAATATTTTTTACTGAATAATTAAATAGCAACAATTCGACATTATTCACTTACACAATAAGTAAAATGGTTTGCTGAGCAAGAACAATATTTAAATCTTAACCTGCGTAAAAGTCTTTTGCTATCCATATTTGTTTAAAAAATTAACAACAATCGCCTCCTTAATATTATACATACACCTAAATGTATGACTATTTTAAAATAATTCAAATGCTTGATCTGAACAAAAAATAACCAAGAGTAAATATCATATTATCCTATTCCGTAAATTCTGATAAGTGATATATTTTATCACTTATAAAATAAAATATTGTTACACATGAAAATCTGCAAAAACTATAAAAATACATATGCACATATTTCATTTGCATTAAAAAACTTTTACCTCTGCTATAAAAAATACAAATTGGTTTATTAAAATAATTTTTTTCTTTTGTTTTGTTTATTAATCCAAAACAAAGGTTATTGTTAACATTTTGTTGCTGATAAAATCTTAAATCAGTTAGGAATTATAAAATAAATTGTGATACATTCTTTAAAGAAATTTAAATATAAAATAAAATTTAAAATTCAAATTTATATAATATATAATAACATTTTTTAAAGAAAAATTTTAATTGGATTAGTACTAAATATTATGAAAATGAATTAAAAGTACCGTTTTTAATCAATCGGAATTTGTTCTCTATTAATGTCGACCAAATAAATATCTTTAGCATTTTGCAATACAAAATCGAGGAAGGCATTTATTGGAGTTATCTCTTCTAAAGACATTTGGTTATGACGTGCCCAAACTAAATTCGGACCAAATACTATTGCTAAATTTGATGAGGTCATTTTATTTAAATCTTTACATTCCATTACCTAAAAAAATTTTTTTTTAATATTCTTATAAAACATTATAACTTTGATTGTTGTACCTTTACTAAAAACTCAATTAAATATTTGAATAACTCATAATTGGCAACGGGTAGTTTTTCACGCAGCATTTGTTTAACACAACGTGATCTTTCTTCTTTTGTCAACTCTAAAAAACAATAAAGTATGTCAAATTTCATAGAAAAGTTTTCGAATATCCAAATACCCAAAAAGTTCGTGATTTCTTCGTAGAGTTCATATGTCAATAACGGCTCCCTTAAATCACGCAAAAATGATTTCAATAAACCAGCTATAATATGTACCTCAAATTCTTTTAAATCAACATCCTCACCACGGTTAACTTTCTGCTTCAATTGATTGATTGTTGCATAGTTTCCAGATCGGCGAAATATACCCTCAGTGTCGATGACACCTGTAATGGAAAGTGAGTCCACACACTTTCTTACTATTGGTGGAATATAATTTAAACAAGCACTGTTCTCAATAATAAATTTCAAATCAACACCAAATTGACTTGTTTTGTAAAGAACTTCTGTTGAAGAAGTTGATGGAATTATTTTTCGTCCAGAGTTGATTCGCTCATCAATATCACATATATTTTCTGGCAATTTGACATTTGTTAACCCTAATTCTTGACGCAACTCGTCCAAACTGGATATGTAAATCAATTTCTTCCGAAATTTTTCACTTATGAATGGCCGAAAGAAATTCCAAACTATTCTTATAAACCAAGTTGGATGCACAACATACAAATTTTTTAAATTTTTTCGAAATTTTTTATCTAGTTCCTTATATGAATTCCATAACAGTTGAACTGAGGGCTTACTATCTTCTTTCATTCCTTGATGAAAGTACACTAAAATGTAATCGTTATCAACATAAGGATCCATCACTCTTATTATGTCTCTAGAAAAATATGAATTTATTACCAAAATCTTGTTTGCAAGCTTGATACGCACTATATGAATTTGTATTACTTACGCTAGAAATTTTTCCATTTGAGACTTCTCTGGAAAGCGATATGCATATATAGCAAAAATATGACGTCCTTGGCGGTCAGTTCCCAAAAGATCACACTGTGTTTTTATCGTGGCAAAAGTTCCACCCTGAGGAAGTGTAAAAGTCCATTATCAATTATATTTTTGGTGTATCTTTAAAATAATATTTTGCGGATGTTAATGATACTTTCACTACGATCTTAAAGATTATTTGAAAACAAAACTTTTATGTGTAAGAAAGCAATCAATCGCATAATCTCAAACCATGAATAAAAGAAAAATGTAACCAAAAAATTTTTTTTTCAATGGTTGATAATTTTTCCGAAATATAATTCTTTTTTTTTATTGGTATGAAAAGAAAACCTCCTTTTATTCGGAATAAAATACTTTTTTTATTTTTTGCTAATATATTTCGTGCGCTACATACGCACTTTATCAACGCTGATTTTCTTCTCCAATGTATGTAACAGTTCAACAATTAAAAAAATTAAGACAACGAAACCGCCTAAATTTTTATTATAACAACTTAATCTTTAAAAACATAAAAGGTAATTTTAGGTACTACAATGTACTAGCATATTTGAGCGCACTCTTTAGTATTTACGCGATATCAAAAGTGAATTTTTTAAGTACTTTTTTTGGATTTATTCATCGGGTTTTTCAAAATATTATATATACATACTTCAAAAAATTAAGTAATTTAAAAACTAACAATACATTGTATATCGCAGCCTCTTAAAAGTTAGCAATGAAAAAAACTTACTATAAATTCATGTACAGGTGTAATCCTCAAACTTAAATACAGAGTGCTTCGTATATACAGTTGGGTACACCCTCATGAGTAGACAAACAGCTTAACAGGTTGCAACTTACAGAGTCTTAAAATTAATCTCGACTAATTTTTTGAATTTTTGAAATTTTAAATATATGTACGTCAACTCTGTGCCTATGTCAGACAAACGCATTATTTAATATGACTTGGAAATCTCAGAATAAAGGTTTTCCTTTGAATATCTACATTAATTATAATCAAATTTCGAAATTACACGACTTTATTGCACGAAAAATTTGAAAAATTAATTTTTCAGTTTTAAACAACTTTAATTTTCTAGGCTAAGTGAAATTGTACAAGCTGTACACAAAACTATAGAAGCAGCTTTCTCTAATTTTAGAAATGCTTTCAACTTTGGGAATTAATTTAATTTAGAATGTGTCATATTTATACATGTTTTGATTTAGAAATTATTGAGCAAAATAAGGTACAGCGAATGTTATTTTATATCAAATTTTGTTCTGCAATGACTTAAACAAATGTTTAAAACAAATCAAGCGTTCGAAATGATATCTGTACTTATCTCGTTCAACTTGACAATCCAGTTCGCTTTACATTTTCAAAAAAAATATCCCGGATAATAATGACTCTATTCTGTTTCTGTCATATAATTAATCAAAATTTGACGTTTTGAAAATATCCACATTGGAATTGAATAGAAGGTTTTTTTATGATCAACCTTGAGCATAGGCTCTAAATTTAAAAGTGTTTATTCACGGGTCATTCATTGGGATTTAACGTGTTAAGATATAAATGGGTATATACATATTATGAACATAAATATTTAATTTTATTAAATAGTAAACTAAAAAGTAGATTAGGTTGGAAATAATAACATCCATATACCAGCAGTAGTCATTTGATACATGTATTTATATGATATATCACCCATATAATGTACCTAAAATTCTGGTTGGTGTCAAATATACTGCTTTCGAGTCATAGTCATTCCAAAATAAAATTTTTTGTTAAAAATCTGAACGAACTCTAAAAGCATTTTAAAATTGAGGAGCACATACTTATGTATATTATTAGTGGTTTACTTGGGTTTGAATTATACAAGACAAATAAAAATCTTGGGGTATAATATCAATAGTGAACAAAAAGATATAAAGTTTGAAAGGCGTATCTATTGTACTTTGGATTTTATTAGTACCCTAAAAATCCCAGCTTTGTTACTGACTTATACTCACTAATTATGATTAAATTTCTTGGTTGGTTGTTGCAGACATCTCAGACAGCTGAAATTTGGTATATATCGTCAGCTGCTGTTAGTATACAAAGAGTAAAAATATTCCAAAATTTCAACCTTTTATCCCCCCCAATGGTATAAATCGTTTACCCCCAGACATCGTATGGGGATTTTTTGTTAAAAATAATTGTATACTAGCATTTCCTTATCCTTGACAACTAGCGTCTAATAGCTAACCAATCCAACTTTTTCATATAAAAAATTGTACGTCATCTAAAGAAGCATGAGAGAAGTTGCAAGCTGTACACTAACCTTCAAGACTGTATTTGAATTAGGGATGAAAGCGACCATTTACGAAAGTTTTTTAAAGATCGAGAAAAAAGTAATTTAACCGGATTAAGTTTACCCAAGGAGCTTTTTGTAGTTATTCTATTATCTAGTCTTCATTAAATTTAAATGAAGATAACTCATCTCACCTCATTAAATTTAATAAAGCGCAGACATAATATAAAGAAAAATTACATTGCTTTTGAGAATTCAGAACAATGATATTTACTAATGTCATATATATCTATCAGGACACCAAGCTGAACTAATTTTTCAGCTTGGTGGCCTGAATCGGAAAAAAAATACAAAAACAATTTTTAATGTTTTATGTTTTCGAAGTTTTCGAATTACCTCAGGTGGCAGACCAGTTGATCTGGAAAATCCACTCTCTTCGGAGATCGGTCCCATGGATTCTGGGGGGGATCAAACATTGCTTTCCCGTAGGAGTACATTAACACCGAGAACTCCACCTAAAACGGGCTTCAAAAGTTCAGGATGAGAAAACATAGCCTCTCCGAACTAATTGCCAACCTCAACCTTCTCGTGGTGAAGCCTGTTTAAAACAAATCAGGCTAGGGCGACCGAGTATTGGCGGTATAACCATAGCGAAAAACATCCTGGATTAAATACCCAGTGATAACAAGATGGCCCTCCAAAGATGGGGGTTAGGCTTGGGGCTAACTACCCAACCCTGTAAAAACCAAACCAGTTACGAATTCTTTAGGAATGCCTCGAATATATGATGGAAACAACAGATCACAGACCCGGAAACGTTTAAAAGGACATGATTTGAAAATTGGTACATGGAATGTTCAGACTATGATGAGACCTGGAAAAATGAACGAAATTGCAAGTGAAATGATGAAAAACATGGATGGGATATGGAGATATAAATAAACCCGATTTCTCTATATATTATAGCGGGGATAATTTTGGATCTGGAATGTGCGGCACAGGTTTCATCGTAAATAAAAAAATAAAAAAGGCCGTAATAGCATTCACACCGATCAACAAGAGAATGGGTAGCATTAGAGTTAAGGGAAAATTTAATAATATAACAATTATATCTGTATATGTCCCTACAGAGGAAGCAAATGATGACGAAAAAGATTAATTTTATGAAGAATTGAATAATTTATGTGAAGGAATACCTGACTATGATACATTAATTATAGCAGGTGATCTAAATGCGAAGATTGGTAGGGAACGGTATAAACAACAAGTGGGTGGAAGATTTTCGTTGCACAATGAGACGAATGAAAATGGAAGGCGTTTATATCAATTTGCTAATGAGAATAATCTAAGAATAAGAAGTACAGCTTTTGAAAGAAAAAATATACATAAAGGAACATGGAAGGTTCCAGGAAGAAATGTAGTGAACCAAATAGATCATGTACTAATATCAAAGAGATGGGCAACATCAATAATTGATGTGCGAACTTACAGAGGTGCAAATTGTGACAGCGATCATTTTCTGGTCGTATCAAAACTGCGACAGAAAATCTCCAATGTAGTAAAGCAGAAAGGAGTAAAAAGAAGAAAAAATAATACGGATATTTTAAAAAATGAAGGTACAAATGAGAATTTCCGTAATATTGTAGAAAGAAGACTTGAAAGTGAAATAAATAACGCAAGAAGTATCGATGAAGAATGGGATCAGATGGAAGATGCGATGAGGAGAATAGCAGAGGAAATAGTAGGCTACAAACAAACAGAGCGTAATATAGAGTGGTTTGATCGGGAGTGCAAGGATGCAATTGTTATTAAAAATGCAGCCAGATACAAAATGTTACAAAGAAATACTAGGTTAAACCGAGAAAATTATAAGGAAAAAAGAAGAATCGCAACAAAAATCTGCCAAAAAAAGAAAAAGGAAATGTTAAAAAATAAGATTAGACAAATACAGACAGAATATGACGCACATAACGTAAGAAAGTTTTATAATGACATGAAAAAAGAGAAAAGTGGATTTAAACCTAGACTAATAGAATGTAAAGATAAAAATGGCAATATAATATCAAATAAAAGTGATGTCCTAAGAAGATGGTCCCAGCATTTTGAGGAATTACTGAATATACCAATTACAGAAGATGACGGTGAAATTGCAAATATGATACAAACAGTAGAGCAATTAATCCCTGCGCCGGAGGTTCAAGAAATCGAAAAGGCGGGTGAACCAAAGCATTAAAAAATGTTTCCGAACTGCTTCAATCAAGTCAACTTCGACCCGATTCGTATGTTTTTCACCAATTTAAACTATTGAGGAAGTAAGTCCTGTTCGTTTGCTTAATATTTGTTGGGTAGCTGCAACACAATCTCAAAATTTATTTGGGTATATCTAAGATATTATAGAAGCTATAGTATTGAATTAACGCACAAGATATATTATTAGGACCATTGTGTTTGCTAAAACTCATTGAATTTGCTTGGCTCCTTCTGGTAGTTGCCATTCAACTTGAAAAGTTATTTGGTTATATCTTAAAAACTGTTCAACCGTTACATAGAAATTTGCAAAATAAAATATGAGAAAGTGGCAGCTATATTCATTAAAAAAAGTGGAGATCTCAGAGAGCACTTGTGATAACTGCCATATTACTCCAAAGGTTATTTGGCATTATCTAAGAAATTATTGGAGCTATAATATAGAAATTTCGTGAAAACAAGTGTATTATTAGGGTTGTTATGTGTGATAAAAATCATTGAAATTTTTTGACTCCTTGTGACTGCTGCCATACAACTTCAATGGTAGTTTGACCA